TTGTTGTTGATGTTGTTGTTGTTGTTGTTGTTGTTGTTGTTGTGGTTGTTGTTGTTGTTGTGGTTGTTGTTGTTGTTCTTGTGGTGGTTGTTGTTGTGGTGGCTGTTGTTGTTGTCGCTGTTGTTGTTGTTGCTGTTGTTGTTGTTGCTGCCGTTGTGGTGGTTGTTGCATTCGTGGTGGTTTTTGCGGTTGTGGTCGTCGTGGTTGGCGTGGTCGTGGTCGTGGTCGTGGTTGTGGTTCTGGTGCTCGTGGCGGTTGTGGTGGTTGTGGTTGTGGTTGTGGTGGTGGTGGTTGTGGTTGTGGTGGTGGTGGTGGTGGTGGTGGTGGTGGTGGTTGTTGTGGTTCTGGTGGTTGTGGTGGTTGTGGTGATTGTGGTGGTTGTGGTTGTGGTTGTGGTTGTGGTGGGTGTGGTGGTGGTGGGTGTGGTGGTTGTGGGTGTGGTGGTTGTGGTTGTGGTGGTTGTGGTTATGGTTGTGGTTGTTGTTCTGGTTGTTGCGGTTGTGGTTGTGGTGGTTGTGGTTGTGGTTGTTGTTGTGGTTGTGGTTGTGGTTATGGTTGCGGTGGTTGTGGTGGTTGTTGTGGTTGTTGTTGTTGTTGTTGTTGTGGTGGTGGTGGTTGGTGTGGTTGTTGTTGTTGTTGTTGTTGTGGTGGTCGTGGTGGTGGTTGTTGTGGTTGTTGTGGTTGGTGGTGGTGGTGTGCTTGTTGTTGTGGTTGTGGTTGTTGTTGGTGGTGGTGTGCTTGTTGTTGTTGTTGTGTGTGGTTGTTGTGTGTGGTTGTTGTTGTTGTTGTTGTTGTTGTTGTTGTTGTTGTTGTTGTTGTTGTTGTTGTTGGTGTGGTTGTTGGTGTGGTTGTTGGAGTGGTTGTTAATGTTGTTGCTGTTGCTGTTGTGGTTGTTGTTGGTGTTGCTGTGGTTGGTGTGGTTGGTGTGCTTGTTGTTGGTGGTGGTGATGGTGTGGTTGTTGTTGGGGTTGCTGTGGTTGGTGTGGATGTTGTTGTTGTTGTTGGCGGTGTGGTTGTTGTTGTTGTGGTTGGTGGTGTCTTTGGTGGTGTGGTTGGTGTTGTTGGTGTGGTTGTTGTTGGTGGTGGTGTCATTGGTGTGGTTGTTGTTTGTGTGGTTGGTGGTGTAGTTGGTGTTGTTGGTGTTGTTGGTGTGGTTGTGGTGGTTGTTGTTCTTGTGGTAAGGTGGTTGTGGTTGTTGTCGATGTGGTTGTTGTGGTTGTGGTTGTGGTTGTTGTTGTGGTGGTTGTGGTTGTTGTGGTGGTTGTTGTTGTGGTTGTTGTGGTGGTGGTGGTCCCGGTGGTTGTTGTGGTGGTTGTTGTGGTGGTTGTTGTTGTTGTGGTTGTGGTGGATGTGGTGGTTGTGGTGGTTGCGGTGGTTGTTGTGGTTGTGGTGGTTGTGGTGGTTATGGTTGTGGTTGTGTTTGTGGTTGTGGTTGTGGTTGTTGTTGTTGTGGTTGTGGTTGTGGTTGTGGTTGTTGTGGTGGTTGTTGTTGTGGTGGTTGTTGTTGTTGTGGTTGTGGTTGTTGTGGTTGTCCTTGTTGTTGTTCTGGTTGTTGTGGTCGTTGTTGTGGTTGTGGTGGTGGTGGTGGTTGTGGTGGTGGTTGTGGTTGTGGTTGTGGTGGTTATGGTTGTGGTTGTGGTTGTGGTGGTTGTTGTTGTGGTGGTGGTTGTTGTGGTGGTGGTTGTTGTTGTTGTGGTGGTTGTTGTGGTGGTGGTTGTTGTGGTGGTGGTTGTGATTGTGGTGGTTGTGGTTGTGGTTGTTGTGGATGTGGTTGTGGTTGTGGTCGTTGTGGTTCTGGTTGTGGTTGTTGTCGTTGTGGTTGTGGTGGTTGTTGTTGTGGTTGTTGTGGTGGTTGTTGTGGTGGTGGTTGTGGTTGTTGTTCTGGTTGTTGTTGTGGCTATTGTTGTTGTGGTGGCGTAAGTTGTTGTTGTTGTTGTGGTTGTTGTTGTTGTTGTGGTTGTTGTTGTTGTTCTTGTGGTGGTTGTTGCTGTGGTGGCTGTTGTTCTTGTTGCTATTGTTGTTGTTGCTGCGGTTGTGGTGGTTGTTGCGGTTGTGGTGGTTGTTGCGATTGTGATGGTCGTGGTTGTGGTGGTCGTGGTTGTCGTGGTCGTGGTCATGGTTGTGGTTGTGGTGGTCGTGGTGGTTGTGGTGGTTGTTGTGGTTGTTGTGGTGGTTGGTGGTTGTGGTGGTGGGTGTGGTTGTGGTTCTGGTGGTTGTGGTTGTGGTTGTGGTGGTGGTCGTTGTGGTGGTGGTTGTTGTTGTGGTGGTTGTTGTTGTGGTGGTGATGGTTGTTGTGGTGGTGGTTGTTGTGGTGGTGGTTGTGATTGTGGTGGTTGTGATTGTGGTGGTTTGGTTGTTGTTGTGGTTGTTGTGGTTGTGGTGGTTGTGGTGGTGGTGGTAGTGGTTGTCGTGGTCGTGGTCGTCGTGGTCGTGGTCGTGGTGGTGGTTGTTGTGGTCGTGGTGGTTGTGGTGGTTGTGGTGGTTGTTGTGGTGGTTGGTGGTTGTGGTGGTGGTTGTGGGTGT